GTGTAGTATGTCAGCCGCTCGCACAGCTCAACCAGCAGAATCACCAAAACAGGAATCTTCCGGACCTTGTGATGTCCCTCCCCGCACGACTCATTGCTTGAATCAGGATCACTGCTAGCTGATTCACTCATCGTCCCGCATCCAGCGCTGAACACTGTACTGAACGCTGTACCCAGCACATGCCACAAAGATTGCAGCTAAGAGAAAGGCTGCATTCTGAGAAAAGACGGCAGAAGCGGCACACAAAGAACAGGACAACCTGCGGCAACAAGACTTGGAGGCAGCGTGCGAAAAAACAATTCCAGCGCCCTCCCCCACCCCCCAAAAAAAGCTAATGCCAAAATCCGTTCCCTTTGTATAAGCTGCGGAGAAAGCACAGTCGTCAATTTGTAAACCAATGGGTACCAGTTAGCAGCTAGCAGTTAGCATCTGACAGCTACCTAGCACCAATACAGCAACAGCTGCTCGGAGTTTCTCCGTAATGGTACTGCCCGCGGGTCACTCTGTGATGCGGCTGGGCCTTTGGGACGCTACAATCAAGGGCTGTCGTCATCACTGCCATCATCCGCACAGCAATCCAACACCAGCTCCTCTTTCCGTATCACTTCGCGGATACCCTTGCCTCTTCCCGCGCAGCGTGTGATCGCAAAATACAAGCAGATCCCAACCACTGCCAGCGCCGCATTGACATAGTAGTAGTTCTCCAAGTTCCCGGCATCCAGGCTGTTCGGATATGTAAGCTTAGTGACAACAGAAGTGAAAGCATTTGAGACTGATCCTTGGAAGAAGAGGTTGATGGCCTGCAGAAGGGAACGAACTTGCACGGGCGCGGCCTCATATGAGAAGCAGTACATACAAGGATTGACCAGGATCTCGGCAATTCCAACCAAGGTGAAGGGCAAGAATATCCAGAACGCACTGATGTCTCTCATGCGCGTCCCGTGCAGACCATCTTCTGTGTAACCGGGCGCACACTGCGAGAATTCTGCACTGCAAAGAAACGGTTGGCCCCGTCTGCGAATCTCTAATCCCGCTGCTACCAGATTGGATCCACAGGCAATGAGAAGGCCTGCTATGATCTTCTGGCCCAGTCGCACGGGTGATCCTTTTATCCGTGCAATTGTGGGGTAGAGGCATGACTCAAACAGCGGGGTAAACACCAATATGGCAAATGCGTCAGCAATGTTGAAGAATGCCCCGTTCAACTGTATCGAGCCTATCCTGAGATCCATCTGGCAGGCTTGAGAAGGAAATGCGTTGTTCATGGAGTTGTAGCATAGGTTGAAAGCGATGTTCACGATCACCAGCATGGGAATGGCCGCAAATGTTTCACGCGCATCTGCCACGTTGAAAGACTCCTTGTCTTCGTCATCCAGGGCCTGCACCCATTTGGGGTTCAGATTTGAAACCTTGGCCACCGATGGGAAGAACATTCGACAAAGCCAAGGTAGACAGATCACTCGTGGCGAATCTCTTGACATCCAACTGAGCTCCGGGCCACGAGGCAG